TGCCTCCTGCCCGCCGGGGGCGGCTGGGACGTCGGGCTCCCGCCGGAGCTCTGCCCTCGCCAGGCCGCGAACCCTGGATGGAGGATGCTGCTTTGCGAAGGCCCTGTGGTGTTTCCGAGCGCGTGCACGTTTCTCTGTCCCGCCTTGGGATTTGCACATCTCCAGAGCTTACACAACGGAAATTTTGGAAAGCTAGTTAGGAAACACCCCTCAGGAGCGACACGAGCACCGCACTCCCATCCCAGGGCAAGATGCCCATCCCAGGGCAAGATGCCCATCCCAGGGCTGGCTGAGCTCTAGCAGTCCCTTTCTGGGAGCCGCCTGCACCAAGGGGTTGCACTAACCCTTTCCCACCATACCAGTACCAGGCCAGAGAGCTCCCACGCTGTGAAACCTCCGGGATGGCACACAGCACAGAGAGACAGCTCCCAGCTGCCTGCAGGGGAGGGTTCCCCTCACCCACAGAGCGAGCTTCTGCACATGGGAATTTACCCGGCATCAGCGTGGCCCATGTGCAAGCGCCCGTCTCACAGCTCCCACCACCGTCCACACATAGGCAGCTCCCTTCCAGGAGCCACCGGAGTGAGGGAGCAGGCACGGGCTATCGTGGCTGATCAGCTGGAAGATGGGAGGAGGAGGGCACAGACCCGGGTTTATGTGGACAGGGCAGAGGGATATGGTTATGGTCAAAGGGATGTGTGACGGAAGGGTGCAGAGGAGAAGTAACTCATCTTTCTGTGTCTGCCTGAGAGCAAGCACTGCCCACAGCCATCGCCACTCCAGCAAAAGCCATAGCCACCACTGCCGCGGCAGCAGAACAAGCTGAGTTTGCCCATCCTCCTGATGGGACTGTTTGCTTCACTTCTTAGAAAGTGAATTTAAAAGGAAAAAAACAAACTATTTTGTGTTAACAAAAACTGAATATTCTTACTAAAAAACTGGAATATTAGAAAATGGTGTTAGTGCAGAAGTTAAAAGGGATGTTTAATGAGTCACCAGGAAAAACTTATGAATTGCAGGTTGCCAAACTTGTAAAATACCTACTTTTTAAATCAACACATTTTAAAATGCTTTAAAAACCAGATTTATCTACTGAAATTATTATAAAATGCCCAATGACTGTGAAATTGGGAACACAACTTCTATTTAGAAAGCCCGAAGATTTCTGAAGTCAGAAACTGCATCCTCATCATGTCTGTCTTCAATAGGCAAATTTCTGACACATTAGTATCATTCTTTTCTTCTAGCTGGGAAAAATTCCCTGACAATGAGTTCCACAAGCTATTTCCCACTATATATGTAAATTGGTTTATATGTAATAGTTCTGCTGGATGCTCCCTATTTCTTGTGTCATGAAAACAAAGAAATAATCATTCCCAAATTGTCTTCTCTGCATGCCACTGAGTTCACAGCATTTATCATATGCTCAGTCATTTTTTTCAAGCTGAAAAAAAACTGATTTCTATGACTGAGAGCTCTGACTTTGATCACTTCTGTCACTCTATTCCTCACATATATATTCTTTACACTGTCGTCACCTAGTTTGCTGATAGCATAAGAATGCTCTCACTGGGTTTCTCCAATTCTTGTTTAATATTTCCTAACATTGGATTCACTTTTTACTTCCCTAAACATATTCAGAGACCAATCCATAATCCAAATTCAAAACATTTTCCCTGAATGGTAACTGCTAATTTAAAACCCATAGTTGAATATGAAAAGTCACACGCATTTCTCCCATGCACGTAACTTTGCATGAATCACCTTTAATTCATAAGAAGAAGATATAGCACAGACAGAAGAGTGGAACTAGCAAAAATATGTAATGTTTTTCAGAGAATTGAGGATGCTTATTATAAACAATCAAACATATAACCATAGAAATCTTTCATCTCACCCATATACCAGCAAATAGCTAACAAATCAGGATCTAATTGTTTGATTGCGCTGTTTCCTGCAGTTATTAAAGAA